TCTGCAATTCTGTTGAAGAAAGATGTTGAATCTATTTAATTATTCTTGAAAAATAATTTATTTCTGTGCATTTTTTTCCCAATTATCAAATTAAAGTTGATTACGTCGATTAAGCATCATGAGGCGGAGAGTGGGGGGGGTGGTTCCCTATTTTTTCTTTTGCTGGGAGTTTGCAACCCCATTAGTTAGGTTGCTTAATATTTCTGCTAAGTACTCTTTAAAATACCAGAATAGGGAGGATGGAGTAGGTTTAAGTTTATTAGATTGATCAGTGTTGCTGATCTATGAAATATTTTGTTGTATTTTTTACATACAGGTATAACAGAATAGCTTTAGTGTTGTTGTTTATTTAAACTTGAGTATGAACTTATACAAAATGCAGCAAGATATTAAAAAAACAGTTTTATTGATTAAAACACACTATATCGGATTCATATTGGTATCGGCAGATATCCAAATTTATGATATCGGTATCGGTATCGGACATTAAAAAGTGGTATCGTGCCATCTCTACTTCTAAGATATTGTTTATTTCAGAGGTTTAACTATGGATATAACTGTTACTGGTAAAATCTGTGACTTTAGTGAGACAATAACTCAAATTAAAGCTGTCTTAGTAAAAACCTATCGTTTGATTTTCCTTCTGTTCTGCTGTAGTTTAACGAATCTTATACACCAAGTGACAATGCCACCCTTTCCTCCCAGAAACGAGTCAGCTTTGAGCCGACAACAACGTACCTACTGAAGGACTTGAAGCCCTTCACTACTTACACTTTTCGGCTGGCTGCCCGAAGTAAACACGGAGTTGGAGCTTACACCAATGAAATCTCTGCAGAAACTCCACAGACACGTAGGTCTTCTTCCTTATCTGACAGGGTTGAAACTATCTGGGAAGGAACACATTTTCAAATGCATTCAAAGTTTTATGTGGGCCGCAAAAGAAAAAAAAAATCGAAGATGTGACAAAAATGTCAGAAAGGTCCTTCTGAGCACAGATAAACCAAATAAGATTTTTTTCCCCCTTTAAATGTTTGATGCATTTGAAAATAGCAAAGCTGTAAACACTTAAAATGGAAAATCAGTGTAACAAAATCTACCTGACCATGCTGTATCCCCCTCCCCCTTTGAAAAGGTTGCATGGGCAGTGTACCCGGGGCTTTCCTGTAAAGTCAGGAGACGAGGTTATAAAAAAACTGCGGGCTCTCCACCTTTGTTGTGCAAAAACAGGCGTAAATGAACGATAAAGCCTTGAATTATTTATGTGAATGCCCACATCTGTGTCTCCTTTTTTTCTCCTAAATGAAAGGGCATAGCTGGCCTTTAGGAAGCCTTGTCTCCTGAAATTGCATGTCAGCCAAAAAATAAGAGAATAGAAATGTTTTGGAGTCTGTCTGAGCTTTCTATGTGGCTACAACGGAGAGAACCAAAGCAACTTTTTTTTCCCATTTTCTTCAAGAACTCTCACCTTAATATTCAATTCAGATTTGAATGAAGAGCGTTCATGAGTTTCAATATCATAGAAAGCTCAAAGCGAGTACTGCCTTTGTAGTTAGGGACATGTTCACCCGAAAGACCTCAGATTTATGCAGCTGGTTAAAATTGGGGGAGGGGGTAAAAACAAAAATTGGAAATGCAGAGAATTGCCAGCCTTAGATTTCTTATAGACAAATAAATGAATGTTTTTAAAAAGAAGAGGAAACTTCTGCGTATCTGACCTAAATCTGAGGGCTTTGAAAGACAAGGGCAGGGATCAGGTAGGTATAAAAGATCACAAGTTCTAAGTTGGCTCAGATGATGTCGTAAATGATGTAGTTAACTTGGAAAGAACAGTGCATGCCAATGTTATCAGAATCTAATAAATCAGTCATGTCTCCTTGGGAAGTTCTCTGTTGTACAATCAGGCTTTTACCACAAACCAACAGGCTTCGGAAAGGTTGGTGACAAACACAATATATTTTTTTTTACTATTTTTAAAAATAGTTACAGCATCAACCTTTATGTTTTTGGATTGATGGTAACTGCTTGCCAAATTTTTCTCAGTCTGTTTTAAAATGGTTTAACTTAAATGTCATCTGAAGTAGGTGTAGCTTTTTTTTTTTTTCTTTCATATTTACGGGATCTAAGAATATTAGAATATGTGATTTTTGTCTTCTTTGTTTTTATAAATTTGTGTTGTTCATGACAAAGGTAGGTTACATATGGTAAATCAGTCCATTTAATTTTCCCAGTCACCACCATCCATTCATCACGAGTTGGTACACTTTTGTGTTTGTCGTTACCTTTCATTTTGCCTTTATTTGTGTTTTCCACATTTCACTGATTTGAAATGTTTTTGATTTACCCACGTGTCCTTGTGCTTTTGCCTCATTTTTTTATCATTTTATTTCCCTCTTCTTTTTTTCCCTTGGTTTGGTCAATTCTACCATCATCACCCTGAACAAAACAAAAAACTGAAACTCCTTTCAAAACACAAAATCCAAAAAAAATAAATCCAACCCAATGAATGGCCTCACCAAAACCCACCAAAACCAAACCCCAAAAAACAAAAAACCTGCTCCAAATCCAACCCGACAACCAGAACCCTCGGGCCCACCTCAGGAAGTCAAGTGCTATAGCCCCAGCTCCACCAACATCCTGGTAAGTTGGCGGCCACCACCTGTCGAATTACAAAACGGGATCATAACGCAATACGCCATCCAGTACGCTGCGACCGAAGGGGAGGACGCGACTACTCGTCAAATCGTCAACATCCCTCCGGAAAGCACCCAGTACCTTTTGGAAAACTTGGAAAAATGGACAGAGTACCGTGTGACTGTCACTGCTCATACAGATGTTGGAGCAGGACCGGAGAGCCTGCCGCAGGTCATCCGCACAGAGGAGGATGGTATGTGTTCGCTAAAACAAAGCTCCAGCTGCAATTCCAGTCTACCCTTCTTAACCTACCCTGTCAAATACTAACAGCCTTGCCTATATCTACAAACCCCCCTCTTCTCTTCTACCCTCTCTGCCTGCTTCTAATATGACTGTCGACACTCAGTACTTTTAACCCTATTTTTGGACAATGCTTTTTTAAAAGAAAAGAAACTCACTTTGCAAAAAGCACAATTTTTTTGGCTTTTTTATATCCCCCACCCCCTACGCTGCTCAATTTCAACACATGGTATGGCATTTTCAGCAGAAGGCCTCCAAAACTTCCAGTCCCAACTGTCATTTTTGAAACTTTTACCGAATGTCATCATATTTTTCACTTTTTTCTTTTTTTTTTTGAGAACTTGACAAATTGAGGACAGTGGGCAAAACAAAAGGTGGAAGATTTTTTTTTTTTTTTTTGAAGGCCATTTTTTAAAAAGTTTTTTTTGTCTCTCGTCATGTGATACAGTCATTTTTAACCCATTTTTTTCCCCTTGCTCCATAGCCAAAATTCTTGCCGTGCTTCAAGCAGTCGAAACTCTTGAAGCCTCCTTTGGCTCCACTTTTCTATTTTGGCAAAAAGGCATTTTTATTCCATGTTTTTAAAATCCACTCTACCCATTTTTAATGTTTCGACATTAGGTCAGTTGTCAGACCTGTTTTTGCGGTTGGTTTTTACCCCCTCTCCTTACCATTGTTGAAATATTGATGTCATGCAGTGCTTGTTGCAGTTTGCTGCACTTTTGTGATTTTTATTTTTTATTTTTTTGGTCACTGCAGCATTTTGCGCTACGGCTTTGGGCGAGATTCAAAAAAAAGAGAGAGAAAAAAAAAGGGGGTGAAGGGGTTCTCTATAATTTTCACCTTTTTTCTTCTATCCCATGGTGTTCCTCCAGTTCCTAGCGGGCCACCTCGTAAAGTTGAGGTGGAGGCTGTCAACTCCTCATCAATTAAAGTGATCTGGCGTTCACCGATGCCCACCAAGCAGCACGGTCAGATCCGAGGGTACCAGGTGCACTATGTCAGGATGGTTAATGGGGAGCCCACAGGACAGCCAGCCATCAAGGACATCCTGATTGATGATGCCCAGGTACAACACCCCCACCCCACCCTCAGCCACCCACCGCATCTGAGACACATAGTAATGTTTTTCTCACTCACAATTGCAAACTATTATTATGTAAGCCTGATTATTTATTCAGCTTAGTTGTAACTTGTTTTGCCACTAATGAGAATTCAGTTGGACACACAAGCTTGTTTATCTGTATATGGATGATCATTTCTGGTTTTGCTGTAAATATTCTATGAAAAAAATTGTATTTAATTTATTTAGTAGCTGTAGACAAAGACTGTGTGTGTGCATTTTATTTCCAGTGATTAGTGTCTATGCCTTATTTGTTGTCTCTTTTTCTCTCCATGTTCTGATCTCAAAATCAGTGGGAATATGATGATACAACTGATCATGTGAGTAGCTCAACTTCACGAAATACAAATGTTTTTTCCTGCTGTCAACCTCTGCATGACCGTACATATGTTAACTAATAGGTTGAGTGTTATTTCATCTTTAATAACTGCAGAAAGGAAGCTCATCTGAAGCTTACCAAACTGCAAGTGCTGATGAACAAAATATAACATGAAATAAAATTTGAACTTTTGTAGTTATTTATTAAGTAAAGCTTTTCACTGTGATCCCTGTCAAGTCACACATGCCTAGAGTTGAAGTATATGTGATGCAGCATGTCAAAACCAGGTCAAATAATAATACAGAGAAAATACAGAGAAAACCCCAACAATCAAACAACCCCTCAGAGAAAGCACTTGGCAACAGTGGGAAAGAAAAACTCCCTTTTAACAGGAAGAAACCTCTGGCAGAACCAGGCTCAGGGAGGTGCAGCCATCTTGTTGGGGGTGACGTTTTAGTTTATTTTTGGTGACTTTTTAACTTGAAGATGTCGAACTGTGTTGCCGCTTTGAATTATTGTGGTTTACTCATGTGCAAATGGATAAATAGTCACGTGTAGTATGTTTGGAAATGGTTAAACTTCTGATAAAAACTCGACTAGGCTTAAAAGAAGCTGCTGATCAAGCACAATTCACCTTCTACAGACGGAAAAGTTGCCACCATCACCAAAGGGGTAAATCTTGCTGGGCGAACAGCCCGGTCACATCCCCAGCCACCTGCTGCTGCGCTCAGTAGGGTCTCTTCCTGTCAGCAAAGAGGGAGAGACGATTTGCAAAGAGCTGTTTATCTGACAGCGAAGTCAAGATAATAAACACTGGAAATATTGGAAAGAAAGGTTGTTCCTGATTGTGTTGTTGCTTGGCTACAGCTGGGATTCTCGATCTGCATCTTTGGCCAGCTGTTTAGCGTGCTGCCTCACATATGCTAAAGGAATGTGTTCGTGAAGGTTATTTTAACATCACATCCCACTTCTGTTTGCTTGCATCTGCATAATAACACATGAGCATCCTGCAACTCAAGTCTTGTGTCTTCACAGGAAATGATCATCACAGAACTGCAGGCTGAGACCACGTATTCTGTTACTGTCGCAGCCTTCACGACAAAGGGCGACGGTGCACGCAGCAAGCCCAAGCTGATCACCACCACTGGTGCAGGTAACAGAACCATCACTGCTGACACATCTCCACTTTGCAATGCTATAGTATTGCATCTAATAACAGTCAAACTATTATGTAATATCCTAAGCATTATTTACACTTGTCAGTGAGCACAAATACAGCTAATTACTGTCTCATTAAGAAACAATAAGTCTTACCCACTGGTATGACATGGCAAAGCTGAAGGCACTTTTATTGTAGTAACGTAAACAGACAAAACAAAAAACCAGGAAACGCCTCTTGTACGGCGTCACGCCACACTAAAGACAGACATAGCTGATTGTAGATTGACTAACACTGAATGCCTGTGTGCTACAAATATTTCTAACTTGTCCCTTTCTCCATTGCTGCTAATAGTTCCTGAAAAACCTTGGCTTAAGGTCAGTACAACCAACATGGGCACAGCTCTCCTCCAGTGGAATCCCCCAGCAATAACTCACGGGCCCCTGCAAGGCTATCGTCTCCGCTTTGGCCGTAAAGATGTGGATCCGCTGACTGTTATTGAGTTCGCAGAGAGAGAGAACCACTACACAACCAAAGAGATCCACAAGGGAGCCTCTTACACTTTTCGCCTATCGGCGCGCAACAAGGTGGGCTTTGGTGAAGAAACGGTCAAAGAAGTGACCACAAACGAGGACGTTCCGAGCGGCTACCCTCAGAACATTAAAGCGGAGGGCGCCACCACCTCCACGATTCAGGTTAGCTGGCAACCTGTGCTGCTGGCAGAACGAAACGGGCAAATAGTGAAGTACGCTCTGCAGTACAAGGACATCAACAGCCCGCGCAGTCCCTCAGAACTCTTCATCACTGCCCCGGAGTCGACAGTCATCCTGGATGGCCTTAGGGCCGATACTACTTATGATATTAAAATGTGTGCCTTCACCAGCAAGGGCGCTGGTCCCTATAGCCCAAGTGTCCAATTCAGGACACAGCCTGTGGATCAAGGTAGGACCAGTCCCTGAATTTTTTTTAGGCCTTTCCCTTTAAAAAAAAAAAAAAAAATAACAAGCCGACCTTTCCCTGCTCTGCCCTTTCCAATCACTTCCCTAAAAACCTCAAAAGGCAGAAGTTGTCAAAGTACGGAGTCAACCCGAAGACTTTGGTTCTGACACACTGCCCTATCATTAGTCTCTTTAATCTAACAGTCATTTAAGAAATGCACGTGGAGTAAGTATGTACGTCTCTTTGTCTTGTCAGTTAAGCAAAGGTCAGTCATTAATTTTAAGAGCTGGTGGGTAAGAAGGTAAGAGGATAGTGTTGAGTTCAGAGTAGTACTGCTGCTTTCAGCCTGGTTTTAAAGAAGGCATCAGGTAAGCAACGATGTGGGACCTCTGTCGGTAGATTTGTTTTTTTTTAAAAAAGAGAGCGAGAGGATGTTTTGTGTCTAAATCACGTGCTCCCCCTTTCTTTTAGCAGTGTTTGCAAAAAATTTTCACGTGAAAGCTGCCATGAAGTCGTCGGTGCTGCTGACATGGGAAATTCCAGACACCTACAACCCTGCTCAACCTTTCACTGTGAGCATTGCCTAGCTCAGTATGGCACTTTCATATACACGCAACAAAAAGCCTTGTAAATACTTGCAATGTATATACACTACATTAGAAATCATGTGGTATTCTACATGAAACCTCAAGTGAATCATCCTCTTACAGATCCTCTACGATAACGGGCAGAGTGTGGAGGTCGATGGGAAGTTAACCCAGAAGCTAATCACGGGTCTTCAGCCTGAAACTCAGTACTCTTTCCTCTTGACCAATCGCGGCAACAGCGCAGGAGGTCTTCAGCACCGCGTGTCCACCATGACGGCCCCGGACGTCCTCCGCACCAAACCCTATTTGGTCGACAAGACCAACTCAGACGGTATGGTGACTGTGGAGCTACCTGCAGTGGAGACTTCTGAGAGAGTAAGGTAAGCAGAATAAAAAATGTGTGCATGTGTTTTCCTTTTACTTTTCGATTCATTAGTGCTGCATAGATCAGAAGTATTGTTTTCAGTCCTAAATTGAGCTCCATCAGTGAGATACAATACATCCATTGCAGCTATGCAGTCAAACACATAATAACAACATAAGTCAACAGATTAGCTTGGAGCAGCGTTCCTGAGTCAACTCTGAATTTCCTGACCTGGGTAGTGTATCAAAATGTGTCTTGTTGGATATTTAAGTCGTTTCCCACATCCACATTACTGATTTGTATTTCCTACTGTTGCTCTGTGAATGGAAATAAACAAGTTAACTTGATAGCTGACCTTGTCAGGGGTAATTCTTCCAAAACAGTCATTTATATTCATCCCTGCATTTCAGTGTAATATCCACTTCACCTGAGTCATTACACAGTGGAGCACCCCGGCTCATTTAAGCACACTCCTCTAAGCCCTATAAAGTCTCTTACAGCCTTTCAACAAAGCCCAGGGTTGTCAGAAGGCCAAGGATCACATCCGATTGCAGACTGAAGCTCCAAACCCATCTTGGGGTTTTCTTTATTCCTTTTTAAATCGGTGGTTACATTTGAACCACTATCTCCCACGCCAGAGCTTAAGCTAATTAGTTTCCCATTAGCTGGCCACACTGCTGTCCTGGCTAATGCTAGCTAGAGCAGCGCCCAAACCAGGAAGCCCAAATCTGGCAGGAGGTCGTTATCTCTGTTGCCACCCCGATGAAGAGATGAAAAACCCATCTCGCTTTGCTGAGCTCTCCTAATTAGCCCACAGGGGGCCTAACCGAGGTATAACCATATTGCCTGACTTCAATGAACATGCTTGAATTAATGCAGAAAAGAAATCCCTGATCAGATGATAAGAGATCATGTAACTTGCTAAAAGCATGATTTTAGTCTCTTTGCACTAAAATCATGTAGTCATCAGCAGACTACGCTTTCTAATACGGACAGACACTGAAGGAGCCGTTGCCGTGGCTCTTCTTGCTGTGTTGTTTATTCCACTGAGTCCACCCAGTCCAGAACAATTTGTATTTATATAACACTTTATATTTTGCAGGGGTTATTATATTGTGGTGGTACCTCTGAAGAAGCAGCGCACCGGCAAGTTTTTCAAACCCTGGGATAGTCCTGACGAGATGAATTTGGAGGAGGTAAGCTGAAAAGGATGATTTGGTTTTAATTGTCATAATTGGTTGTAATGGCTATAATTTTTTTTTCTTTTTATCTCCTTATTATACTCAGCTTCATAACGAGCCCTATAAACTTTGCGCACATGCAGCCCGCACACGTCTTTTCCTTCAAACTAGGAAAAAAAATAAGGGGCTGGGAGAACAGCAGATGAGTCCCGCTGATTGACGCAAATAGCTGCAGAGAGCACTGTTCATATGGAAATGAGAACATAAAGTAGCCATCAAGTGCACTGCAAACTCAAACCCCTATCTCCACCTCCTCCTCCTCCTCTTTATGTCTGTGGTAATTACCTGAAGAGCTGCATCAGGCCTTCATGTCTCTTCTCATTCCAGGCAAAGCTAGGCTACCTGCATATCCACAAAACACTTGACAACTTTTATATTTAGCCAGTCGGGATAATTCGAGGGGGGTGAGGGGGGTGGGGTGGGTCTGGGCTATGCATTGATGTATGTGTAAGCAAATGTTTAAATTCGAGGTGGAACATCGCCGGCCGAAAGCAGGCTCGCAAAGAATAGCACTCGCAAATTGAATCTTGATAATTATACGTCAATTTTTAAATCATGAGATGTCGCACGTGTCTGGAAGGCTGAAAGAAAAACACGCGGCGTCTCATCTGGTATCGGCTTTCCAGCTCGTGCCGATGTGTCTGTAGCCTTGACCGATTGGCCAAAAGTCACCCCTCTGTCAGAATTTATTTGTTTGTCAATATTGGCACTCACCTTTTCACAACTTTTCCCAAGGGCAGCTAGATTTAGCTGTGTTGACAGGAGAGATGATTGAAGACATTATCGGGCAGCACCAACAGCCCCGCAGCCAAAACAGAGCACACACAATGAGCGCACCCTCTCTAAAGTGAATGACAGCCGCGCACGCACACACGCACAGGCCGTGGATATGCATTCAGACGACGAAACGACTAGCCAGGCCCGATTAGCATAATTATCATCCGCGCTTTGTACCAGAAATTTAAAATCTGATGGCTCGTACGAAGGGCACAGTCCTTCAGCCTATTAGAGTCGCAAGCGCTAAAACTAATCGCCCAAGGAGGCAACAGAGGAGGGAAAAACGGCAAACAAATAAAGCACAAATTAAACGTGAATTTGAACATGTTGCTAATTTAATCTCAATATATATAATCCAGCTCTACACATCTTTCATTCGAACTGAAGGCAAAGAATTAAAAACGCATAGCAGTAGTCGTCAAACACAGAAAACTCTTCTATTTGTCTACATATTTCATCAAAAAATCTTTCTGATGCTATCAGCAAGAGAAGAATAATTGAGCTGTGTAAGTTTTGAATTAATTTGGTGTCTTTTTTACTGTTTGAAGCTGTTGGATAATCCTCAGCTGTTTTATATGCTGGAAATCCACACAATCTTTTAATCTGACAATCTTTTGTAGTCCAAAAAAACACGAAATAAGTCATTGATCTTTTCTTGTAATGTTCTGCCTTTTTTTTTTTTTGCAATCAGCATTTTCGGCTCAGCGATCAGGGGAAAAAAGAAGAAGAAGAAAAAAATCTAGATAGAGATATTTGGTTTGTGTGGATTTGTTTTCATGTGTGTGCCTGTGTGTTATCAACTGTCTGCTTCTCACTCCTCACTGTAGCTGCTGAAGGAGATAAACCGAACGAGCAGGGGCCTTCGTTTCCAGAGGCAGGCAGAACCCAAAGCCTATATCGCCGCTTACTTCAAAGACCTGCCCAAACAGTTCACCCTGGGAGATGGCAAGATCTATGGGGACTTTGAGAACAAGCAACTTCAGAATGGCCAGGAATACATCTTCTTTGTGCTTGCTGTTCTGGAGATGTCCGAGAATGTAAGTCTACCCCGTGATACTCGAGTATAAGTTTTCTTCCCGTTAGGAAGCCCCCTTGCTGATGATTTCACATTCTTTGTTCTTAAAATAAAAAAAATAAAAAGCAGCTGTCCGTGTTAGTAAGCAGAGGAGGTTAAACGTGCCGCGTCCTGGCTGAGGGTTGGAGCTGGCTTCTGGTCAGATGTGTTACTCTGAGTCCTTTTGAGGCGTTGGACTTTAAAACTTAAAGCTGCAGCCAGAAGAAGCTGACCCTTGCTGCTTTAGGGAGAGAAGCCCCTTAAGACCTTAGCTGATCGCGAGAACACCTCGATAACAGCGCTCCTCTTTAATTGCATCCAGTGTGCGGTCCGCCTTATCTTCGCTGCTGCAGCTAGTGTGTGTGTGTGCATTTGTCTGTCTGTACTGAAGACCAGAAAGCTGCATGATTAGGCAGCTGCAGGCAAGATGATGGAGTTGATGAGCTGCAGGGTCTATAGTGCTGCCTCACACTCTCTCCACTAACCCTGAGTTCAGGTAGAGCAAAAACGATAATGACGGACGGAGGGAAATCTCTAATTTGCCCACTGAAGCATATATTTTCTTCCCACTGGACCTTTTTTTTTTTAATCTTCACTTGGACTGTGGAATAGTTCAATCAAGGCCTCAGTATAGGAGAGATACTAAAGATAATTCTGATTGGTCAAAGTCCGGCTTAGAAGGAACTACACAGAAAAACTTTGAATTGGCTTTTAATATGTATTGTTGGTCATGCCTGTCTTCGCCAAGATATGCTCTGCAGTGGCCGTGTATTAACTGAAGGTTTGCAGTGCTGCTTTAAATACCTCAGGCACCCAAAAATAGGTCTAGATGTACTAGCCCGCTCTCATTCCCAGGGCGTCAAATACTGACGCTTTGTCAAAGCTGCTGGCATCTAAAAGACACGCATGAGGTGTCATTTAGCATCAGAGAAAAGTGAGAAGGTCCTTACCCACATATGGAGCGTGTTAGAGACCACTCCGTGGATAAATGTTATTTTTAACACCCCCTAACACTTTTTTTTAACCAACGAGAGTTAGAGTAAAAAGAAGCGGAAACAAAACAAACTGTTAAATCCGGATATAAGAGGGTATCAGACTGCGTGTAGCACATTTGACACCCTGGAAAGCGTTTACATTGGGTTTGTTGTATCCGCCAACACTTTTGATGTCGAAATGATAAACAGAAAACTGGACAAACTTTTCATTTTTTTTAGAAATGGCGCGTATTTCAGAACATTTACCTTTAATTTGTTTTTCCCTGGTTTAGATTATGTATGCTACCAGCCCCTACTCGGACTCGGTCGTTTCAGCCGACATCGATCCCCAGCCAATCATCGACGAGGAGGAGGGCCTCATCTGGGTGGTGGGGCCTGTGCTAGCTGTTGTCTTCATCATATGCATCGTCATTGCCATCCTCCTTTACAAGAGGTGAGGATTTAAAAGGCTAATTAACACACAGGGGAGCACAAGCATGAGAATCCGATTCAGAATATACAGCTAGCTTAGCGTGAAAAGACACACTAACACGCAAACACCTCAGACTCTGATACCAACGCCCGCTAAAGGGGTTGGCCTAACTTCTGGCGCCATATCTCTGTATCTAGTTAGCTGTTAAACAGCTAATGTTAGGGATGTGTTTCTTAGCAAATGTCTGTGATTAGCTAAGGCAGTTAGTCGTAGCTTTAAACTCCACATTCCACTGGAAATACCAGCTGCATACTTTAAAAATGTATAATACAAAGCCAATAAAGAGCCATGTATCTTTTTCCCCTTCAGTGTAGGTGGGAAGTCATTGAACTCTATTTCTGTGCTAGTGCATATTGACTGCAAAGGAGACAGTATAAAACGCATTTTACTACTTAGACCGCATACGTGCACTTTAAATTCATGTCATCTATAGTCACCGAGCAACAAGTGTTACCAATAAGTATTTAAATGTATTTTAAAAACCCCACACATGAATTTGCAGTTAGCACATTTGAGTGCAGATGCTAAATGTAAGAATGTAGCTAAAACCATAAGGTGCATTGATCTTCAGACAAGCCGTGACTGTCAAAGCCAGTTGCACGCGCGCGCACACACACACACACACACTTTTAATCTCTTGTAAGTGAATTCAAGAATGCAGCTACCCAAGCTGTCAAGGCATGAAGTGCAGTCGCCCACGATCCTTCAAACAGACACGTGCGTTGACTGAAAGTTAATCAGACACGTCCCTCCGCCCCCTGCACGCACAAACACACACTCTTAAACCCATGTAACACTGTAAAAAAAACACTTGCTGTAGTGCATTTTCACACTGAATCAAAACAGCCTCTCTTTTTTTTTGCCTAAAACCCCCTAGTGGTAGTCAGACCTCGTGCTGTCACTGCTCATCAGTCAAGCGTAGGAGGGGAGAGCTTTGACTATCTGCTGCATGTCACCGCATGTGTGTGTGCAGCCTTTGAAAGGCCCTGGGGCCTGGGATAGCTTCCCAGCCTCTTCCTTTATCCCACTACCTATTCCACGGGAGGGGGGACTGAGCTCGTGATCCAGGCTTTGACCTTATGCTGCCCTCCTGTTTTGCCGGGACAGGCACATATTGAAGGTGCACACTTACACATCTACACACTTTGCTCTCTTGTCCCTTCTCACCTTTTACATAAGGCAGATTTTCTGCAGTGTTCATTCAATCAAATGTCCAGGCCTAAGCAGAATTTAACAGTCGTCCTCAAGGTTTAATTTTGGAAGGGTAAGATTAGTAACTGAAGAGTCAGCACAAGCCCAAATCACATAACAGTACCAATACCAAAGACCAAAAAAAAAAAAAAATCCATCAATACTATCAGTGTAATGTAAAGAGGTTTAGAGGTACAGCTTTATTCTGGCTCTTGCATTTTATTGTCCTTGGCATTCGTTCATATAAAATTTGAGATAATACAAAGGTGACTTGAAAGTGAGCATGGACTGCATATGCAGCTGGCTTTGGTTTTTCCATTCGTGGCAGGCAGATTTACACATCGATTACCCAGCCAGTGTCACTGCCACATTAGGGAACATTTAGTGCATAACCAGCATATATTTCTCTTGTCAAGATCAATTTTTATGTGACAAAAGTCGCCTCCTGTGCAAAACAAATGTAAACAAGCATGTTCTGCTGAGCTATAGGAAAGGGCGTGGGTATGACGAGCAGAGAGAAACAGAAGTCAGGGCCAACTAGGGTTGCGGTGCTATCGCAAGCAAGGTGTCCTCATCAGTGCTTTAAATCAGTTTTATCATTATTGTTAGAGTCATATTACATTAATCTGCCTCACTGTAGTTTCATGTGGGCATTTAACACATAGAACAGAAGGGCAGTGCTCATTTGTGTTTGTTTGATTTTTAAATTGGTGCTTAACGTTACTGCGTTTGCAGAGATGCTCATTTATTGCTCTCTCTGACTTGCAGCAGTACTACTACTCTGTTTTCGTGTGCTTGGGCCACAGTGTACTGTATACATTACAGAGAGTGGATATCTCAGTCTTAACGAGAGCACATCCACCCCCGCTGATGTTATCGTTATTAGCGATCTCGCAGGGGAGGGGGGCAGGATGGTCGGACTGCCAAATCAATAGAGCGCAATCTTTTTGTTTTAAATAACACAAATTTGAACCCTCTTATGTGCTTGAGTTGCGCACATTCATCCCAGATCCTGATCCCACTTGAACGTGCCGACGTCGTGACTTTAATAAATGCAACAGTGGTAGGCAGGAGAAGGCAGACACAGCAATTAAGAGTCAAGAGATGACTTTTATGCTCGAACAAGAAGCAATCAGCTGAAACTGCTTGAAATAGCAGAGATACAATGTACAAATCTTGGATGCACCTGGGAAACTGTAGCATTTGAAACAAAGAGCCCCAAGGCTGCATAATTGAGCATAATCTCTGAAGTGAAGCATCACTAATCTCGCACGCGAAGCAAAAACTGAGATATGATTGGTATCGTTTGTCTCTCATGCAAGCCAGCCATTTACTTATTCTAAGGAAAAGTTTATGGCATTCTCCAGTATACAAAGTCAACGGTCTTACCACCTAATGTTTTGTTGATATTTCTTTTCTTGCTCACCAATGGAGCAGCAAGCCGGACAGGTAAGAGTGAGAAAGAAATAGATAAAGACCTAATTCCTTTCAAAACCCCTTTTTTTCCCCCCCTCGTCCTTGCTGTGCATATGATACCTAAACCTATAGAAACTGCTGTCTCTCATTTGGAGTTGAAATGACCTGGGAAGCATGTTGCTTACACCTGCTGTGTTTGATAGGAGGAGATCAAAGCACAAACAGCTTGACCTTTCCAACTGCTAATTGTATTCGTGGTGCAACATGACCCCCTAACTACATTTACATCTGTGAAAGTGGCACTTGATTCGAAAATCTAACAAAACTAAAAAAGGGAGTGGAGCAATTTTCTCTGAAACAAAAAACACTATCAATATATAATGTAATGCACTCTTAATACCAACCCCAGCTACAGCTTCCAAATGACTAAAAAGTTGTATCCAAACCTTCGCCTGACATTAGTAGTGAAAAGGGAACAAAAGGCTTTGCTAAAGGTAGTATTTACTGTCTAAGGGCGTATTTATGGCTTTATACTATAACGTGATGTTATTTTGCCTACCTCTTATAGCCCTATGTACTACAAGAATGTAGCCCTGTCACTTCCTTAATTACATATGTGCCTTCATTATTCATGAGACCGCGAGGCAAGCTTTGAGGTTACACAATAACAATTAAGAGTTTTGAGTACAAATTAGTCAAATAATCTCCCGGAATTAATTAAAATTGACAATTTGCTCCACAGAAAACGAGCTGAGTCTGAAGCTAGAAAAGGTAGTCTCCCCAACAGTAAAGAAATGCCGCTTCATCATCCCACTGATCCAGTTGAGCTGCGACGTCTCAACTTCCAAACACCCGGTAAGTATCCCGAACGATGCCACATGTTGTCGTCTTGGTGTGGTGTGAATTTAAGACTGAGGATGTCAGTGCTACTGAGTGCTTGCTTTAATTAATTCAGCTAGCCTAATATGACCTCACTGTAAAAAAAAAAACAAAAAAAAAACACATCATCTTTGCAGTGAGATTGGCACAGACTGTGTGAGCAGTTTGCAGGTAGATAATGGACAGGTGCTTGAGAAGACACAGAGGGTCAGTACTGACACGGGCCTCCCTGGAGACATTTCTCAGGGAGGAAATGGAGAGGCAGAAATGCGAGCTTGACAGTTTCGTGACATCTGTCATCTTCCTCTGCACCTGGGTTATACAGGTCATCCAGACCTGTCACTCTGTAGCGGTGTAGTCCTGTTAGAACAAGGAACATCGCAGAAGTTGAGCGAAATACAGAACGTCCGTGTGTTTCATTCGGTATGCAGGCCATAGGGATACGAAAGCGGTGACAAGCTGTAAACAGCGATGTTTACTCGCGCCGACCTTTAGTGCTGAGGTGAGCGGTCGCGCCGCGGCTCAGTCGTGCGGCCGTTTCTCGCCTCGGGAAAAGACGGGAGTCACAGTCCATTTATCGCCTGGAAAGGTGCATCTTTGCCTCCATGCTGACCAAGAGTGGCACACTTGACTGCCGTTTGAGTTCCTCTGGCACTCGCTGCTTTGGGACAGGTGTTCAGAGACTGCCAATAATGTTGTAATATCAAAGCCATATTTTTCAGGTCGGCTAGTATGAAAGGAGGATGAATTATCCCCGCAGGCTCATTTTTGCTAAAGATTATGCATATTTATGAATGCTCTTCAATGATTTTAGGGGCCATTACAGAGTGTTTCATCCCAGCAGAGGGGTATTTTTCCTTTTGGCTCAGAGTGATCTCAACTATCCTTCCACTATTTCGCTCACCTCTCAAGCCATCACTTTTCCCCCCAAACAGCCTTTTTGAGAGCTGGTATCTTGGCTCAAAAAGGGCCAAACATTTCTTTTTCCTACCACCTGACCACTTTCTCTCAAGTCCTGAAGCAGCTTCTACATTAGACCACCTCTCTCCCCTACTCTCTCTCAGCTCTTTACCTCGTCAATGGACATTTTCATCTTAAGGACGCTTGATGTTTGAGCGACAGTGTGTTGGAAAAGGTACCTTCATTGTCCCCCAGTGGTGGAAATGGATTTTGAGTAGTGGGTTGCAATAGAAAGAGCCTTTGCCGTCTTTCAGAGAGACGCGAGAGTGGGTGGGAAAACGCTGCAGCTTCCATTAGCTAATGCCCACTTGTGCCAGAAACCAAAATGAGATATCACCTCTGCAGAGACAGACTAACACCCAGCTGGTGTGTCACAATGGCGCATAAATTCTTAAGGTGGAGATCTTTTGCCATAGTCCAGATGTTGACACCGTAAACAAAAAGGAGTCTTATTGAATTTTCTTTCATCTTTTTCCCTTTATCTAAGCTCTTAAATATACCGACACCTACACATAGACTATTGCATTGCTATTATACTGCCAAGTCTCCAAGTAGTACGTTCAATACGTTGTCACCCCAGAGCATCAAACACTAGAGCAAAAGAGACAGGACTTTTAAGACACTCGGTGAGGCAAAAATCTGCCGATATTCTTTTTCTTTCAGACACATAAAATATAAGCAGATCCCCTAACGTTTCGTCTGTGTATTGATGAGTTCTTGCTAAGATAGTGTGACACTGCAGCTTAAAAATAATCTTGTTGTACTGTCACAAAAAGCTACTCCTTTATGCTCGTCTAAACTGCTCAGATTAGCGGGTTGTTTGTAGCGTTTCAGTTCATATCAGTTGTATTTATATAGCAGCAATTCACAATAACATTCCCCTGAAGGTGTGTTATATTGTAAGGTAGAGGCCCCACAGTAATAGAGAGAAAACCCCAACAATCAGATGGCAGACTATGAGCTAGCACTTGGCAACAGTGGGAAGGAAAAAGTCCCTTTTCAGTAGTGTAGCCAACAGAGAGGTTGCTCTGTGGTGGACAGGCTATCCACATAGTTAATAGGGTGCTTCTCCAATCTCTTCTATAGTTTTTTAACTTTCATGCATCAGCTGTTATAAATGGTGATATTGGTGTATCTGCAAACAGGTAATATCAGGCGATATATATTAGCAGGGCAAAAGTATCAGCTTTAATAAAGTACTGAAATTCTTTCAGCTTCTGCTGTTATTTTGCATTGATTTCTTGATGCACTGGTTGCAGCAACACTGGATCTTAAGCAATGACGATGCTCACATTTGCAGAGTATGGTACTGACATAAGTTAGCCTGCCAGGAGATAGCGGTTTGTATCTCATTTTGGACTCTGTGTTGCTTGATTTCATTTTTGCTTTTTACTTACTTTATGCTTCTTAGTTTTAGATACCATAAAGAGAAAGAGATTATAGTTTGGATAAATGTGTGAAACCCCACAACAAACCCTGCAAGTCGAAAAATGTGCCGCTTCCAAAGGCTTGTTTTAAAAAGGATTATTGGACAAGCTGGGAATGAATGCTTGGTCTAGCTATCGTCATGAGCCGGTGTCGTCTCACTAACAACAAAGGCCACCTGTGAGACACAAAAGCAGAGTTTGAGGGAGGATCAAGAATCAGCTGATACATTACAATGTAAAAACAGTGGCAAATAAAGCGGTCGCAGTGATTTGCGATTCTGGGATTTTCAGTTCCCCGTATGCTTTCTTATTTCCATGAAATAAGCATGGTGGCATAGCAAAGCTTCTAGCATGGTGATTTGTATGTTACTAATGAATGTCCCATTTAGAAAACACATAATCATGCAGCTCCCTCTTGTCACATTTCAATTTCTACCTTCTCTTTGTAAAGACAATAGTCATCACATTGCTCTGACGTCTGCAATATATTTAATTCCACCGCCGTTTCCTCCACAGGTTCAGGTGCGCCCAGTCACCCCAGTAACCTCCATTTGTCAAGTTAGTTGGTCTCGATTACACATTTGACACGACTTGTTTTTGGAATATTTTTTTTCAGCTTTAACTCCTTTTTTTTCTTTTTTTTCTGCCTTGTATCTCCATCCCCATCTAATCCATCTTATGTTAACGCTATATCATCACAGGAGGCGGAGTTTGAAATGACAGCCTTGAAACCATGTCATCACTCAAAGCAGACGTCAACATCTGGCCTAACATTGAATGTCTTTTCGTTTTGTTTCGTTCTGTTTGTTTTGGGATGTTCGTTCGTGTCTGTGCTTTAATGTCATGCTAACTGTCCACTGCAGCGTGAATAACGTTCTTCTCTCTCAGTAGGGAGAGGTCCCAGTGGGGGCAAAGTGTGCTCGGTGACTCCTCATTGGCTTCTGTGCCCATATTCTCTTTACCAGCATGGTCACTGCTTTGAGTGAACAAACTAGCCTAACAACGATCCGCTCTTCCATTTTCCCTGTTGTAACCACATGCCGCTTATCTAATGATTCACCGTTTGCTTGTGCTTGGGTGATGCCCTCTCAAAAGACTTGGGGACTGACCTTGGGTCCGATGTGATTGGCAGGTATGGCCAGCCACCCTCCAATCCCTGTCATGGAATTAGCGGATCATCTGGAGCGCCTGAAAGCCAACGATAACCTCAAGTTTTCACAGGAGTATGAGGTGAGTGTCGGAAAATTCCTAATGTTGATTGAGCTCTGTGAGTGTGAGTGAGCTGCTTAAACTACAACTTTTTGGGGGGATGTTGGCCAAATCACATAACTTTACTTAATTAATATTAAATTAATGATCTTTAGTTGCATGTGTTTGGTGGCTGGCTTGCCGGTAGGGGTGTTGGCAACTACTTTCATCACCAAACTAAGGCTTCAGGCTGTTTGACATGTCAACACAGGTATAATTAATAACACTAATAATGGCACATTCCATTTCTAGTTCCAGGACCCTGCTATTGTGCCTGCTGGCTCAGTGACATTGCTCCCCGAGGCAGCTGAATGGGTTATTAATTTCATTAGTAACACCTGTGCTTTTTTCCGCTTTGACAAGTGTATGCTATAAAGTAAGCCTACATGACTAAAATGTCACGGCGGCAGCCATAACATATATCATTTTATGATTTAAAGGTGAACTCTCGTCATTAAAAATGATGCTGTTGGTGCTTCCAGTATTTAAGGGGGTGGGAAAATAGATAGATAGATAAATTATATCCTGTATTTGGTGGCTCATTTTGTCACCCAGTATTAATTTATAATGAACAGGGCTGAAGCGGTGTCTCTAGTCTTCAGCTGACTCATCAGATTTCGTCATCCTCAGTCAGACAAACTCCAACTCCACTGTTTTGGACTGCAGCTAGCAGTGCTGGCTCGGCTCGGCTCTGCTGTGAGCTGCAGAGCTACTCTCACCAGAACATGGAGTCATGGAAAACTGGCTCATGTGCGACTCCACCAAGATCACCGAGGTTACAGATCAGCATGGACTACCATCGCTAGCTGCAGTTTATACGTTGTAGTTGGAGTCAGACTGTGGAGCATAGCAGGCCACAATTAAGTACGTAACAATGAACGTATTTGCAGAGAAATGCCTAAACAAAGTTAATGATGAGAACATGTTAATAGAAGCCATAGCTGTGTGTCTACTTGTATATGTGCATGTATCAATGCTATGGAAAACACTCCCATCTAAACATTAACACCTATGGTTCAGTAACTGCTAGTCCCCTATGCATACTGACCATGACAATCATCAGGATAAAAGTGCATTAATGAACAAGTGTCACGCAATCAGGCCTTCGGTTCCCTTACCTGCTGACTGTATTCAGGCAGTTGTAATTGTTACCTGCGTATTGCCATGTAGATGAAATTACACTGGCAGAACACTCATGGTACCTCAAAATACACGCAAGCAAGAGGCGCTTTCTGTACGAGATATGAACCGTCACCTTTTCTCTGCCAATTTCTCTCTGCAGGTCCTTCAACAACTCCAAAATCTATGAGGTCACTGTATGGGTGCCTGCCAAGCTGCCCAATCATTATTGCAGCTTAAGTACATTGAATTCCAATTTCATAGTGCTTACTCGAGAGCAGTGGAAAGCAATTTTGCGAGCACAATGAAATAAAGATTCCTATTATGAGCAATGTTGCAGCCCACTGTTTCAACATATTTTGATAAGATATCAGGCTAAGCCTGCGGGTTTGTCTCCCACATATTTCTGCTTAGGTGATTTCTGCAGACAAAGAACTCAGTCTTAAAATAAATTCCCATTGGGCTTAAATGTAAAATAAATGAAAACGCCAAGTTAATCATACACACCTCTGCATCATCTGTGTAATACTTGTTTAACCCTAAAGTGCTTATATTTTTATACTTGTTAAAGATAAAGAAACTATGAGCAATAAATTGCACCAAAATGCCAGATTTTGATCTTATTGATCATACAGATGATCAAAAAAGTACGATCATTCTCATATTTTGCTATTTTGCACTTGGTCTTCCGTCGCCTTCACTGGAGATTAACTCAAAAAAACCAAAAATCATTAATAGCACAGGAACAATATTTTCCTGTTAATGCGAAATGAAACTCTATCTATCACGTCTTTATGTTTTCCCTTTGTGATATTACATTTTATAGTTCACTTCTCTGCAACGGGGGACCGTTATCAAGCCCTGCTTAACAAATCTGAAGGAGGGCCTGGATATCAAAACTGAACTAGTCTCAAGTGTAGCGCTCTACTATGAGCCATAAAATCCTGCTAATCAAATAAGAAAAGCTGATGTGAACACAAGCAATTTCCTCTGTGACCAATTCAGAATGCATTATTTTGTTAATCTAATCTTTTATATCTAGAGGTTATTTCATGCCAAAAACAACACATAGTTCAAATAGTTCTGAGAAGTGGGGAATTCACATTCATGGCAAATGTGCCCTTATATATGTTTTCCCACATTTCTGTTTTAACATTTGCGCAGCAAAAGAGTGAACTTTGTGTCCAGTGTGTGTAGACGCCGCACTTTCTAAAAAAGCTATTGGGTAGTAGTACCCAAATCAAGTATGGGAGATTAAATGTGTGGGTAAGACTGATCTATGGACTCACCAACTTCACATCTTTGTGTATGCAGAGTGGGTGTTGTACTGTACTCACTGGAGTAAAGTCTGTGTTCCACACAAATGATGTTAAAACAGTATCCTTCAACCTTTCAGCATCCCCGGTCTTACAACAGCACCAGACGTGACCTCGAGTCCCAAGCACACTCTTAAAGCGGTTTATTTAAAGACCCGTATAATGTAATAGATATGATTTTCACTCGTTGTGAGGTGAAATGCATTTTTACAGTGGGCATTCTGACAACACGCTCTAGGAATCGCCAAAGAGTGAAATTCAATCTTGTTTTACGTGCCAAACGGAGCCAAATAGTTTCACTGCAGTCACAAAACAAATATCTTCTCTCTTACAGTCCATCGACCCTGGCCAGCAGTTCACATGGGAGCACTCCAACCTAGAGGTCAACAAACCAAAGAACAGATATGCCAACGTGATAGCCTACGACCACTCCAGGGTCTTGCTCTCAGCTATTGACGGTATGTCGCCCACCTACATCCTCGCTCTTAACTGCTGTATCGATTCTGCAGATAGCCGGTGCAGCCTCATCTTTGGGACTTCGGGAGTGCAACCAGACTGTACTTTTAAATGATATTCCTTCACAAGCATGGCAGCCTGCTTATTTGTTTTGATACCCCAGGTGCTTGCAAAGAAAAGGCAAAAAAATGGCCTCGGGAGAAAGAAAGAAAGAAAGAAAGAAAGAGGCACTTCTGTCTTAAAATGCTGAAGCAAGCATTCAAATGAAACCAAACAATGACCCACAGTTAAGGATACAAGTGTGTTTCACTGGCATTTGTTTCTTTCCTGCTTTATTACACTTCAAGGTTACATTTTGCATTAAGCCGAGGCCTGTTTTTAAGCAGAATTTACACACTGAATCCAGCATACACACACACGCGTGACTTTTTTTGTGCCTTTTTTTTACCTAGTCGAACTCGACAAACTCACAACAACCCACAAGATTGCTGGTGCTGATTTAGTGCAGAGTTATATGGAAAGGACTCATTCATGATTTTGTACTTTCAGAGTCGAACTTGAGCCCATTACAGGCTCGATTTGAACCCCACCAGTACGCTGCTCACTACATTAAAGACGCGTTGCTCACGAGTTTCTAATGAATGAAAGCACATTTTGAAATGGACAGTTAAGTGCCGACTCCTTCACCACTTTATTGGATTAAACACAACTTCACATACAGCTATTAATTAAGCATTTCCACTGAACTGCTCTCGGGGGGCGAAGGCAAATAAACAAATTAGTAAATGGATAATGTGACAACAACAGATAGAAACAGCCTTATAGAGCCCCCCCACACCCACACTTCTTTTCGCAAGTCTCTCAGAAACAGCACACAGCTTGAGCACTGATGGAGCTCCATTAGCCAGACGTATAAACACATCTGTACAACCACATTGGAGACTTTGTGCTGCGGAAAGTGAGTAGTTCGCAGCCAGGGGGACATGAGGGACTTCCTCTATTCTTGCTAAAGCTTAAACAAAGCCTTTCGGCAAGCAATGTGTCTATTGTTTACTTTGATTGAGTTCTTTGAATAAAAGGGATTTGGGATTTCACATCAGAGTCTGAAGACGGAATTCACTGATGTGGGGGGACGGATCAACCGAATCTTTGGCAAACAGGCGGCCCTTTAATTGCGGTGACGTCGCTGAATTTGCTCCACTTTCGCTGACTCTTGACCATCCGCCTGACCGTACATAGCATACACTCGCAAGATTAAACTGGAACCTAAAACTTTTTCTTCCTTTCACTTTAGCGTTTTAGAAAAGTTTTAGATCAAACCCAAAAGTCGTGTTTACTCCATAGTAATGTCGTTGCGTGCTCGTGAAACCATATTTTTAAAATATGTAGATAAAGTACAGGAATTACCTTTAATTTAAGTCTTTTAGTGAGTTTGATCATATTCGTCAGTGCAGGCACTGCGAGGAGGCACCGGTGTTAATTCAAAACGGGGCGACTGTGTGACTTCGTGTCAGGTATTTGTACATGTGACTGAATAAAAATGTAAAATTGGAAAGTTAATTGAAAAAACAAATAACAGACTAACTAAAAGATCTGCGCTCCATTTCCCATCAGCTCTGTTATTTCGCAACAGCAAAGTTATGAATGAGCTCACTAGTTCTCCATTTCAAGCGCGGAAGCTGTCGCAAGTAATAAAAATACTCTGCTCTTGATTTCGTCGCCGCCTGACCGTCAAAGAGGTCGTTTATTAAGAAAATAAAGTGGAACTCTCACGAGAAAACTTCTCCGGACGCACACGTTCTGTAATAAGCGAGCTCGGGAATCGAAATTTAACGGAAACGTTATACGCGTTAACCTGTTTGAACTTGACTATACCACGACTGGTAGTGACTATTCCTCATTAATACAGTAATTACAGTGTTGTACTTTAAAAGCTCTCTGAGATTACTTTGCCTTTCCCTGACGACTGAGTGCCGGAACAACACCGTGGCAATGTTTTTTTCTTACTATTTACAGAGAAAATGGTCGAATTTAGACAAATCCTGACTGACAGAAAGCACAAAGGCAAAATCCATTTGCAAATGTGCATTAAAACACTTGCTTCATTCTCATTAAACCACAGTGATGTCTCCTTTTTTGCTTTTTCTCCCCCCCCCCTTTCAAATTGAATACACACTGGGCTTAATTGTACTTATCCCTTGTCCATCACAGAAATGCACAACCGCCTGGCTGCGTGGACAGCTTCAACAGCAAAATGAGCGGGCGGTAGACAGTTTTGGGGAAAAAATAAATAAAAATAATGTGTGTGGGTTTTTGAATGTGTTCATATTACATTTTCTATCCCTTTTTTTCTGTTGAATAAGTTACCTGGGAGTAAAAGGGAGTCTGAGAGAGATGGGGGGGGGGAGAGGAAGCGGTTGGAGTGAGGGGATTCTCTGAGACGTGGCGCCCATGCAGATGAGACTTATCTTGGTCGACCATGTGTGCACGAAGCCCCTAAACTGCCAGTCCTAAAGCATTGACTAGCTGTCAGCTCTGTCTCTTTCCCCTGGATTCGAAAAGGCTGCTGTGCCTTTCATTTAATATAAGCAAAGGAAAGGAGGAGTGAGGAGCGGTGGGGGGAAATTGTTTTGCGAGTTTTTTGTTGGTTTGTTTTTCTCCGTGTGAGGTGATAGACTTCTAGGGACCGAGCTTTATCTGTAACTCAGTTGCACATATGGGGGTGAGGGGTGGGTGGGGGGGTGGAGCTGTTGATTTAAATGTGTTGTTGATAGCAAATACAAATCCTTTTGGGCTGTAACACTGGTTCCAAAACTGACTGCTGTGCTTTTTTTTTTTAATACAAAACAACAGTGGCTTTACTGGAATAAATTTAGGACCCACGGACGATAACGTGGCATTGTGCGAACACTGTGTGGGGGAGAATTACCTCCAATGAACTGTAGGGATAATAAAGCCCTGGACCAATTTACCTAGCCACAAATGCCACTGTTGTGTGACATTTAAGGTCTGCCTCACTTCGAGCTTGACAAACAAAACAAAAGTTGAAATTTTAATCCATTTTCACCAACTGTAAACTTTTTGTACAGGTATCCCTGGCAGTGACTACATTAATTCCAACTACATCGATGGCTACAGGAAGCAGAACGCCTACATCGCCACCCAGGGTTCTTTACCCGAGACGTTTGGGGACTTCTGGAGGATGATCTGGGAGCAGAGGAGTGCCACCATCGTCATGATGACCAAACTAGAAGAGCGGTCCAGGGTAAAGCTTTAAGAATCATTTTTAAAGCCTGTGCTAGAGTTTGACGATATTCTTTCATCAGCATCTATAAACTTTTTTTGTGACACCGTTTAACATTTTTCCCACCAGAGAATTGTTTTGCTAGTGACTCATGAATCATCAATCATTTAAGGCTTCCCAGAATATTTTAGCTCCACATATATAAAAAGAAGCAGCTCACTGTTAGATTTTAACCACTGATGCACTGGAATCCCTGATTGCAGGAATATTTCGTCACTGGCACTGTTAATTGGGACACTGTCCTGTCTCCTCTGGGACAGTTTTTATGTATTTATTCACTACAAGAAGCAGCCAAGCAGTGTCTGTTACCCACTGATATCCTCGATCCACACACACACTCTTGTCTTACAGTCCTGACTGATTAGTATCCAGACTTACTTCATCGGCCTCATACTGCTTAAGGCGCCGGATTACAATCCGTGGTAAAAAAAAAAAAAAAAGACAGACCGTAAAGCCACATCTCCCCGCAGTACACACTAGTTCTTTAAGGTTGACACAGTCAAAAGCTATTATCCCCCCTCCCCCTACCCCAAACGTCTTGCCATATTCGACTGAGCATATGAAAGCTTCCTTGGACTCCATCAGCTACTGACCTTCACACTTCTGTGCCTCTTTTTAAGAGCCCGGTCTAGTGTTAACAGGAGTGTGGACTCAATCGAGAGAGCGGGTTTCACTCAGCATTCACACAATCTGCAAAGCAAATAAGAGCCCAGGTGTCTGCATTGGCCTATAGAAGCAGTGCTATGTAAGCACATTACTATGCTGTTTGCTGGGAGACCACCCCCACCCTCAAATCTGCCTATATTGTTTGACATTTGTTGCAAATATTGTTCTTTTGTTGCTGCTAAAAGTGCGCGTCTTTCATATTAATCAGTCAAATCATTCACTCATGCTGCCTTTGTATGTTTTGCATATCTAAAGCTCGACTATTTGCAAGTAAACAATATTATGAATCATTACATTACTCCCGGTGTCACAGACACTTCATTGCGCTTTGTGTTAATGTTATAACAGATGCTTGGGAAATTGAATTAGCGGCTGGTTAAAAACCTGATTATTCCAGAGTGCTGTTCAATTGTAATATTAATCAGTGGCAGAGAATCCTACAGCTACAGTTGGTGAAGCATGTGTCCGAAAACCACATCAGTGCTAGGGGGCAGTCTGAAGATAAACAGTTTCACTGGAACCCAGCTTTTCCTTTCCCCAAAGCCAATAGTTCTTCTCTTTGTCAGCTAAGCAGTATTGCAATACAATGTTTTATTGGCCGTTTACTGTGAAACAAGAGTACACTCAAATAGCAATAAAGCTGAGACGATAATATGAGTGGACACCGTGCTTACCTTTGTAATTATGGAGTACGTCAGGACAATTAATAGCCCTGTTGGTTCACTACAAATATCTCAAGCTATTTCATTGATTAGAAAATCAAACCTAGTCAGCAAGAATAAAGGGAATTTGGGCATTTATTTGGCCTTTATTTGACTCGGTGCACTTGTACTGAGTGTGTAACTGAGATGCAGAGAATTGCTGTAAAGAGCCTTCATGCTTTGTGAACAAACACCAAATACATAAAGGTTTTATTGACTCCTCGCCTAATGCGATATTTCTCTCCACTACAGGTAAAGTGTGACCAGTACTGGCCTACAAGAGGGACAGAGACATACGGTCTAATCCAAGTGACCCTGCTGGACACGGTAGAGCTGGCCACATACTGTGTCAGGACGTTTGCACTCTTTAAAGTGAGTATTTCTGTTGTATGCTGTATAGTAGCACTTTAAACCTCACAGTAGAGGGAAGATCTATGCAAATATAGCATCGATGTTGGTGTCAGATCGATACTAGTGTAACAGGATCGATACTTTGCTTCTGTCCTCTAAATTCCTTATTTTATTTATAGCCTATAGCACAATTAAACAACAGACGCTGACCCAAAGTGCACATTTACATTCCAGGGCTAAAAAACACAGTTTTAAAAGGTGTCATCTCATATGTCATGACACACTGCTCTACATAAGCTGCCTTTGTAACTTAAAAGTATGAGTATTGCTATTAACATTGATGTCTGCAATACTGGCCCTATTTTTACTTGGTGTCAGATCGTTACCAGGATTTGCAGTATTGCGCAGCTCTGCCTCGCAGCATCTGCAGGTCAAATCATTTGATGTAAGCTGTGTTCGGTCACTGAGCTTTTCTCCGTGTTAACATTCAGAATGGCTCCAGTGAGAAGAGGGAGGTGAGGCAGTTCCAGTTCACGGCCTGGCCAGACCACGGGGTACCCGAGCACCCCACTCCATTCCTGGCCTTCCTGAGACGGGTGAAAGCCTGCAATCCTCCAGATGCAGGGCCCATGGTGGTACACTGCAGGTAAAAAACAACATGGCTTCGCAAAAACATCCTGAAGCATGAAATTGATTTTCTTCTCTCCATTTGCTGTAATGAATATATGAATACATATGGCAAAAACACAACATATTCTTGGTTATTTAGAGGTGTACGTTTGAGTTCTTTTTGGACTAACACTTGAAAGAGAAATTAGACATGAACTATCAGTGAAAGGACGACTGTTTGATAGGATGTAAACTGTTGTTCCTCCCATCTGAAAAGCCCAAAATAAAGAAAATAATCCAGCCCACCAGCTTTCACAGAAAGCACTTTAAATCAGAAGGTGTTTTCAACATCGCAGAACAAAGTGTACTGGTGTCATTGCCCTCAGCAAACTTAAACATCTCCTCCCACGCGGTGACACAAAGCTACGCGCAGACCTGTCGTCTTCCTCGCTACACCGCTAACATGTCGCGCGTCTGCAGCCCACAAGTCCTTGGCTCATCCCCTGGGTTATTGCATCTGAAACAAATAACTTTCATGCCAACTTCACTTCCCTCAGCGACATAAGAGGCCAGACTCCCAGCAGAGAGCACAAAGATATAACACAGACTTCTGGCTTCCCTTAACTCAGGAAGTCATCAGAGGCGCTGCACAGAAGAAGAAAAAGAAAAGTGACAGAAAGAGGAGGGGGGGGGAGTCGAAATTAAGAAGCAGCGATAGCGAGTGTAACAGATACAAACTTTTGTCAGACAGCGACAAAAAGGGTAGGGGGATTACTGAAGAATTAGAATTACCACATGCTGAAGTTAATTAGTGCTAGTTGGCGAATCGCTTCCAATTGAAAACCCTGACTTTTTTCTCTTTTTTTACAGTGAAGCAGAATGCAGGAATTAATGTCACTGTGCAGATGGGAGTTTTTAATTCCTCTGGCACCCTATCAGATACAGTCATGCCCCAGCTTCAAATCCTATAAAGCTAACTTTCTTTTTTACAGTTTTAAATAGAGCTATCTTTTATATTTACTTACTTCCAATACATTTTTTCACTCACTAAAAAAGAAAAAAAGCAGTTTAGCAGATATACTTTAAAAAAAAATATTTTTCTCCTTCAGTTTGTGCAGGTTTTTGTTTTCCTGAAGCTGTTTACGCACATGAAAAGAGGTCAAAATAAAAGCCTTGGGGAAAAAAATCCACAACTGACAGCATGGTGCAGTCTACGGAGCAGTCGACTGATTAGTTGGTGCACCCAAAAAAAAAATCAGCTTGCATGTGCTCAGGCGCCTTATATAAAGACCATAAAGGCATAAAAAACAAGCAATCAAGGTCTTTTGATTTTTTTTTATTTATTTTTGTGTAAGGGAATGAATAGGAGCTTAAATGAGAGGGTTTAGAACTTTTAAAAATCAACTGCACAGGATTTCCTCCCTCACGAGTCGCTAATTAGAAGCACGTTTCTCTCTCCTGTCGCTCACATTCTCGGATTCTAGATGAATCCATACAGACGCTGCAAAATGCATTCATGCTCGTAAGCTATACCTCTGTTGTATAAAGCAGTTAGGCTAAGAAATGTCCACTACAGGAAGCACTTTTTTTTGTCGCGCTTGCTTATGAAACATCATTAATATGGGTTTAGTGGGTGGCTAATGCGTCCCCCGCAGGAGTATTTAAGAGTATCAATCAAAATACATTCATCTGTTTTCCACTGCCGAGCGAACACTTGTCACAAGGTAAGACTAGAGGAATTTTCTTCCGGGGACATTATAGCGTGCCTCTTGCTTTCCTAGTTCCTGCTGTTTTCAGTAACCCACAGGTCAGGGGCTGTTTTGCTCTTGTAGCTAAAGGGCTAGTCAGGCATTGTGAGGTCTCAGAAGAGGTCAAAAGGACATGATTAAATGTCACAGTGATCTCTGGCCTCTCCCAGTGACTCAGAAGGAAAACTTTAAGAACAACTCACAGTTACAAGTAACAGCCAAACCATTTCCTTCCTCCTTTTTTACCATGCTGTAAAGATTCCCAGTGTCAGAGTACTGCGGCCCACCCAAAAACCAGAAAACCCCAATGGGGTCCATCCAATCTTAAAACTTCACTCTAATCAAAATACAAGAGAAAGTGATGCATTTCCAAGAAAGCATTATTCAAAAACCAGAAAAAACACAGGCTGTTGGCTATAAATTGCTAATGCTACCTGCTCATATGCAAAATTTTAAGGCCAATGTGTGATATAAATATCCTCTTGAGAACCAGCCTATTCATTTATGTCCTCTGTAATGGACATTTGTTTATGGTCTGTATCTTTTGACTTATTTGAGCTACCACACAAAGTCCTGATGTCCTAAATAGAGGACATCCTGGGCTTTCTATTGATATTTCATGTGTTTGGGTGGCCTCTTTTAGCTCCATAGAAGGGAGAAAATCACAAAAAAAGTTCAATGGAAAGATTAATTTTTATAAATTTCATAGTAATTTATATAAATATTCAAACTAATTTTAAAGTAATTTCAGAAGTTTAAAAGGTGGACATAGCTACCATGAAATCTCCCACTGCCACTTCCAGTTTTGAAGCCTTGAGTTGTGCCGCCGCCATCTTGGTTACAAAACCCCCCCAGATGTGATAAGTGATGTTGGGTCTGTCTGTGAAACAACACACTTATTGCTTAATGGCTTGTGATTGACAAGTCGTTAGCCAATGAAGGTGCTTTTTCATACCACAGCCAATTCCCCTATTTTGAAACATGGTATGACCAAGATTTGCCAAACAGACTTTATTTTTGATTCAATATGACCCAAATTGAATGAATGAGGCCATCAAATCAGAAGGATACTGTTTGCAGAGGTCGCAAAGACTTAGTGGCTACAGCCATGTTTTACAACATCTGTGGGGTCAATAATAAATGATAAGTGGCTGATTTTTAGGGCAAGCCTCAAGTGGCCATATAACAAACTGCAATTGCTGTATCGATAGCACAAGTCTGAGGCTTGCCTTGAAAAGCTTCTAGTTTTCATAGTAAAAAACCAGGCAACCAACTTTGTCAGCGTTGCCTACTAGTGGTGACCACAGGCTGTGCAGTTGTGACGAGGTGTTACAGCCGCAGGGCGTGGCGAAAACAAAACAGTCCACACCTAACTGCACCCAGTGGCATTCATGTGGTCAGAGACTTATAACGCTCAGTGTAGCAGTGCTTTTCCTCCACACCACATCTGGTTGGAGTCATACTCTAATACCAGTACTAGTTTTTAAAGCTAGTAATTCTTTGATGATAGAGAAGCCAGTGTTAAAGGCTGAAGACATAATGAAATGTCAGTGGTGCTGTTCGGTTAAGCAACGTTGCTTCTTTGTCCTCTCTTTTCCTTCAAGCTATAGCTGTGTCTCCCAGTGATTCTAGTACAGTTATACAAATGGTTTGGATTATAGCCAACCCAATGGACAGTCAACACTAGCCAGTGGGTTGTGTTTAAAAGACCAACCTTCCATACTCCCCGAGTAAGCAACGCGTTCTTTTTCTTTTTGATTTACTTTCCACATTTCCAAGTATCCGCGCACGCACGCGACTGAAATGATTATCGACCCCATTAACAGCAATGCAGCAGTCCTGGTGAGCTGCGCTTTATGTGTGCATGTTTTATAGGCAGAGTAGCAGAATGGTGACAGGTTAGCTGACAGCCAGAGATTTTTTAACAATACATATGTAATTGCTTTCACTGCTGCTCACGCTTTATCTTCACAGGACTCGTTGCAGCTGTATTTCACGCTGAACTTTCTTTCCCATCCCTTATTCCCTAAACTCCTGGAAAGCATATTAGTCTGACACTTAATGTGTATCGACGTCCAGAGCAGCTGGTTTTGACTGGTTGAAAAGGCAGTGTCAGGTCATTAGTGCAGTCAGTACGCCAGCTCTCCTTCAACTGCCAAATGTACCGACAGCTTTCTGCACCGTCTCACCCCACCCTGAATACACACACACACACACACACACACACACACACACCTGTCAATAAAGAAATATTACACTTTCCTAGCATTGCTTGTTTTTTTAATTAATAGCAATTCCAGATGCTTATGAGGCAAACGAGGAGAATCTCTAGCTAAAACAAGTCTGCCTTCGCTCTCATCGCCCTTGCGCTCCCCGTCGTCCTCCGTCTCCTTCTCTCTAGCTCTCTGCTGTCACTCTGTCACTTACTCTCTTGCAGGTCATCACTCTCCCACATTCAAGTCTGCACTGTAAAATGCCTTCAGATTGGAAACAGCTGGGGTAGAGGGAAAAATCTCGACTTGTTTCTATATCCCATGGCCAGGAGCTGAGGTGTTCTCAGACCTGGAAGTGATTCATTCTTCAAATAACCCTGAGACACATTTCACATTTCTTTGCAGCCCAATTCTCTCTCTCACTCACTCATACTGACTCTTTTTCCCTTCCGCCCTAAAGGTGTGAAGAGTTTTGTCAGGAAAGAAATAAAAAGTTCAGTCTCATTCAGCCAATGTCAGCCATTTTGAAAGTGATCATCAGATCATTTGTTAAAGCCAATGACTCCCATACGTGTCTTTATTCCATTTGCAGCACAGTTCCAGTGCAGCATGGCACATTAACCAGACTTGGCCCCCGGGGACTGACTTTACTCCCTCTTGAGTTTTCCTTCTCAAGCCTTTCCCTGTTCCTCAGAGCAAATGAAAAACAAATGCTTCATCAGGAGGAGGCACAAGAGCATGGTTCACACCTCGTAGGCATGTCAGCTTAATGATTTGAATAACCTATTTACTTTGGAGTGCCAAGTGCAAGGACTTGTCTCGTCAATGCCGAGCTTTGCGGGAGGTGGGAGGAGAGTTAACGAACAAGATTTAACACCACCCCGTCGCCCCGCGGTAAATAAATTGTCATCAGAAAACATCTTTGTGCTGAACCATGCAATATTAAAACATGTTATGTGCAGGGGTGAGCATTCGTCAGCAGACTGCCAACGCGCTACATCTATAGAGCGTGTCTCAAGCTGGCCTGCAAGGAGAGGTCAAAGTGAAACAGTAAAACATTTTTGTCTTTGGCAGGATGTCTTTTTTTTTGTGTGCATTTTGCTCACTAATGCACCTGTACCTGTGTGAATCTTAATCAGGAGACCTGGCTTTCAGTGCCTCTTCTAAAGCTCTTATTCCATTTAGGTGCACAGTACTAATCTAATGGCATTAATTGTAGTCAGCTGCACTTCTCAGAAGTTGCCCGGCACATTAATAAAAAATGTTCACGTCAAATTTGCGACTCCGGAGCCACATTTGTGTTCACATTTGTTCTAGTGGCACTTTTCTCATTTGCGAGATGAAGGTTAAATGTTGCTGTTGCGTAAGTTATTAGTCCCGATAGGTTGAAGAGTGCAGGTGGGGTCCAAAGGAGGAGGACTGGATTGCAAAGCCAGTGTTGAGCTCGCTCAAGGCTGTGAGTACCGGGCCCTCTTCTCCACATAGTGCCACTTCAGATTTAATTACACTCCAAGCCAAATGGTCCATCCTACAGTGGAAAACTTTGCAAAGAGAGTTTACCTTTTGGCCTGATCACCGGAAGAAGGGAACTTTTTCAAGCTCCCTGTCCTTGTTTGGACAAGACACTTCTCCTTCCACTGGGCTGATGCAGATCAAAATTACTTAAATCTGCATTCTTTCTAAATCCAGTTGCATATGCGTCATTGGATAAAAATTCACCTGGCTTCTCACTTTAATACTCAGCAAGTTGGTGTTACCAGCCAATACTAGCTATTTTCTAATCTGTCAATATCGGCATTTATAACAGCCGATAAATGAAAACTAGGCTAACTAAGTAAAACTAAACTAAAGTAGACATGGAGAAAAACACTCCTCTAACGTAATATGAGTGCTGACATTGCACAGTTTTTCCACCAGAGGGCACTATGCAATTTCTTACTTGGCAGCGCTTGTTTTTGGAACGCCACAGACACAACGACTAGGTGATCTTAGCAGAGCAAAAACAAACAAATAAATAACTACTAAAACAAAAAAAGTATCGGCTTTTTTTGTAATGGGTTTTTAAATTTCCAAATACCAATATCGTGCTAAAAAAATCCAATATCATTCAGTTTAATAACTTTGTAAGCGCTTGATCAAATTGTGGTGTCAGTTTCTGGTTTCAAGTGTCATTTAGTACTGCATGATGTTAGCTTAGAAACATTTGGTCTCAAAAGTGATGAACCAGAGTATAATTTAGCGGTGGGGAGATCTTGTAATTGACAAGGCGCTTATGTCACTAATGAGTGTGTCAGTCTTATCGACCCATGACTCGTGGCATATGGTTCCTAACAACTAACTGGTGACAGCCAAAATGTTTCAAGGTTTCAAAACCAGTCCGCAGACCAGTGGGTGATGTCATGGTGGCTTTATCCCGGTTTTATAAAAAGCTTGTGATGCCAACATCGGCATGATATAACTCATAAAAACATGAGGTTATAGACCCTGGTGGGAGTTTGCCATAAAACTCTGTCATCTGAATAAAGTCTAAATCGTTATTTCATAAATGAATAACCATCTTCCATCCTTCCATCTTTGTCTCCTTTGTGGCTCCAGTGCCGGCGTGGGACGCACAGGTTGCTTCATCGTGATTGATGCCATGCTTGAACGTATCAAGCACGAGAAGACCGTGGATATCTACGGGCACGTCACGCTAATGCGTGCCCAGCGCAACTACATGGTGCAGACAGAGGACCAGTATGTCTTCATACATGACGCGCTCCAGGAGGCCGTCAACTGCGGCACCACCGAAGTGCCCGCCAGAAACCTATACGCCTACATCCAGAAACTGACCCAGATAGAGGGTGGAGAGAATGTCACCGGCATGGAACTTGAGTTCAAGGTATCTTAACTCTTTACCAAAGGATAGCAAAACTGAGCAAAACGGCTTGGGTCAAGGGCTGATTAAGAGAAATAATGCTAAAGATGGTTTTATCGTATATTACATTGTCAAACCACACCTGATAAAGTTATTTAAAATATTTAGAATTTACTTGCACCCCACTGGCATCCCGTACCCCACTTCACACCAAGGAGTCATTGTAATTTTTTTCCCATTCTCAATACAACTCCCAAACTATTTTCCAGCCGCTATTAGGCCCCACTAGACAGCAAGGGGCCTGTGGTTTCCTCTCTATTCCAGTTAGTTGACTCACTTGTGTAACATGACATAGGATAAAATTCCCCCCTTTCTGGCTCCCCCTTCCATAGCTCCATTTCCTTCAAAAACAGGGGTCTTGGTTTACATGAAAACGGCAAACACAGGTTTTTCCCACCACAGAGCAGTTGCCAGAAGAACTTGAGCAATATACTCTGCATTTACAATGAAAGGCTCCACCAGCGTTGCTGTATATATGCTATTGCCTTGCTTGTCACGCGCCTACTTTCATTCTCTTTGATGGATGCTGATTCAACCAAGAGATTATAAACAGGTCAGATTACACTGCTCTTCTGACTACTTAAATCTTCCTGGTGTATCAATTTCCTTGTCTTTTCATCATAACACGGGCAAAGGGCAAGCTGTGATAATAATCACTTTGATGCCATTTCCATACTTTATGGTTACATGACCCAGCTGTGTGCAGCATATTATACTTTTGATTCTTTTTCACCGCTTTCAAGGTGTGCAATTCGCTAGACTGCTCAGATCTTTATCGCTCGCAACATACCTTTGTTGTCAAACACAATCTGTCACCGGGGAAATACTGAAACATCTGAATGCCATTGTTCCTACCTGATACCCATACACTCAAGGGAATCTCTTTTTTCCCCTTCTTTTTTCCCCTGCAGCGTTTAGCTAACACTAAAGCCCATACATCACGATTCATCAGTGCCAATCTCCCCTGCAACAAGTTCAAGAACCGCCTTGTTAACATAATGCCATACGAGTCCACACGAGTGTGTCTACAGCCCATTCGAGGAGTTGAGGGCTCTGACTACATCAATGCCAGTTTCATTGATGGGTACAGGTAAGCACTAAACTGAAAGTGAATCAACACAAGGCTTCACGTCAGTGCAAACGTAGTTTCATGTAACATTCAGATATGCGTCCACGCTGATTATTTCCCACCTTTGTCATGTGATTCATTTCCGCAGGCAACAGAAAGCCTACATTGCAACACAGGGACCACTGGCAGAGACCACGGAGGACTTTTGGAGGATGCTCTGGGAGCATAACTCTACTATTGTTGTAATGCTAACCAAGCTTAGAGAAATGGGCAGGGTACGGAAACACTGTTTTGCTATTCTTTTCTTCTGGCAATCTTTGAAAGAAATGAAATACAGTAAGCTGTATAGTCCACTTTAGCAGTGCTTTCCTCTAGGAAATACTCTGTTTGGTTTAAGTTTAGAGAACGTAGGAGCTGAGACGCAGGGGCAAGCAGTGCTGACCCAGCTGTTACCTGTGCCATTCTCATATTGACTCAAACAGACATTATATAGACTTGGTGCTAGGGAGACGGCAGGTTAAAGACAGCTTATTTTCCGGTCCGACTGCATCTTGTCCTCATGTGCAGCTCCGCCGGGTTAAAGAAGTCTAGAAAAAGTTCAGGGCTGCAGTGCATGTGTGAAAACAGCTATACTTAGATTCAGGAACTGGGAAGAAAAGCTTTCAAAGAGCAGATACAGTGTGAATTGAAAGACAGACATTTCTGGGAACGAACACAATGAAGTTAGTCTGTGAAGAGAATGTTGTGGCTCACTGTGGTATTCTATTTTTCACTTCCCACAGGAAAAGTGCCACCAGTACTGGCCAGCAGAAAGGTCGGCCAGATACCAGTACTTTGTGGTGGACCCCATGGCCGAGTATAACATGCCCCAGTATATCCTGAGAGAGTTCAAAGTGACTGATGCCAGGGTAAGCAGACACTGTTTCATAAAACATGGTTTAAAGATCAAAGGTTGTGGGAATGTATTGCTTCAGATCAGTGCTGTTTACAGTTTAGACGAGTGCTATTGTTTCTCCACGTCTGGGTTGTGACCTACCCAAGGGTCATGGAGGACACTGAGTGGATTACAGAGAGGTGCAGGTGTAGACAATTTAGAAAGAACCGAGTGAGTGTTTGAGCACACAATAGGTTATTTTAATGTCTCAAATCCCATAATGCAATTTGTTAATCACATGATTTTATTTACCAAGAAAGGAGATTTGACTAATGGGGTTGAACACGCTGGATGATGAACTGTAATTAACTCGATTTTTTTCTGCAGCAGCAGTAATTTGCTCCCGTTTTGGCATTGTATCAAATATTTGTTTACAACACCATTATGGCCTTAAGTGTAACATGAGAAGAAATATAAATATATGGAAATTATGACACATGTCAATGTGTTTAAAAAAAACAAATGTGGTGCCGGCAGCACTGAGCTGCCAGAGTTTTTAATTCCATCAAAGGCTTACACAGATAAATGGCACAGACTCCCTTCTTTGTAGACTATGTTACACTGTCTCGTCAATGGGATTGCTTTCCTTATCAAGGGGATACAACATCACTTAAGTAATGCACATCCTCAAAGTCGATTCTCCAAGCACCCTGTCAAGGGTAGCACATCAAAGGAATTAGCATCTTTAGTGTTCATGTTAAATACATTCAGGTAAAATTACAGTCTTGTTTAATAACAAAACGTTTTCTCTGATGCTTTGCTCTTGGCATCTGCGCAACCGCCTTTCTTCAAGATTTCACGATTGCACCGTAACAACGATCATGGAATGAACTGGGCTACCTGCAAAATACCTTCAGCTCCATTCCTAGCTTCAATTCTCATTGTCATGACCGTTTTTTCTACATTATTTCTCTCGCAGGATGGGCAGTCACGGACAGTAAGGCAGTTTCAGTTCACAGACTGGCCTGAACAAGGAGTGCCAAAATCAGGAGAGGGGTTCATTGATTTCATCGGCCAAGTACATAAAACAAAAGAGCAGTTCGGCCAAGATGGCCCTATCTCGGTCCACTGTAGGTAAGTGACCAACCAGCATAATGCACCAAACCATCTTTGTCTTTTTGGAAGGCAAATAAAATGTAAAAAAAAAAAAAGAAAAATGTGCAAGAACATATTCACATTAGGAGATAAATTATGATGGAATTAGCAATTTCCATTCAGGGAGAAAAAAAACACTACTTGTAGGTTCATTAAGGTTCTGGCCAGGAGCATTGACCTCTTTGCCATCTTGATCTCTTTTCCACAGCGCGGGCGTCGGTAGAACCGGAGTTTTCATCACCCTCAGCATCGTCTTGGAACGAATGAGATATGAGGGCGTAGTAGACATCTTTCAGACAGTGAAAATGTTACGGACGCAAAGACCAGCTATGGTGCAGACAGAGGTGAGCTGTCTCCAAGCCCATCCTTTGTTATTGGCGTACTTTCACACTCTAGGAAAAGCCCAACTTACATACTGTACTATAGGTGTTTGACTGTAACTAGCTACTATGTTACTAATTTGATAGTTAGCTCCAATTGCCTGAAAGGTCTGGATAGATTCCAAGCAGCCTCTTTAGCCAAACAGATGAACTAAAGCGACGCTCTGTTAAAGACTATGATTAATTTAGTAGTGGAATTAAAGTTGTTTTGCCAGTTCTCCACTTCTCCATTTCAACTGACCAGCATACAAATTTCAAGATTTGAGAATGTAGTTTGTGTTTATTTTTGGAAAAAATGAATTGCATCTACAGTACAGACAATTTCTTGGTTGGTTGAAATGGAAAATGTAGCGAACATGATTCTATGTAACCATGTTTTCTTCTTTGTTTCCAGGATCAATACCAGTTCTGCTACAGAGCTGGCTTGGAGTACTTGGGAAGCTTTGATCACTATGCAACGTAAAAGACCCAGTATTGGAAGATAAAAGCAGAGGGCCCTTTGGAAAAAGAAAACCCAGTGAGCCTCTCTTCTGAGCCATAAAGTCCTGCTTGAGAAAGTACTCCTTAACTCCTTGCTAACAACTCATTACATGTTGGATGTGCGACATGACTTGTCAAAAAACGAAAAAAAAAAAATGATTCCCAGGAGGACCAAGTATTTCCCCAACCCCGATAAAAACCTCGCCTTGACTCAGAGTGAGGGAATCCTGACTGTTGAAGCATTACACGGAATTACCTTTTCTCTTGCTTCAAGGATTCATTTTGGGGCTCATAAAACTGAACGAAACCAACACAACAAAAAAGTAAATGAACAATAATGACATCGTCAGAAATGCATCAGTGATTATGAACCATTACGAGAGGCATCGGAAGAACACAGTATTGCGGGGGAGGGAAAAAAAACTCAATGCACATTGTAAAGAAGAAAAAAAATCTGTTTCACAATCAAGTACACACAGACAACCCATCACAAAAGAAGACAATGCTTGGTCCACAAGAGCAGGACAGACTTAAAGTAACAATGAATAAATAGCCCCGTTTTCTGTCACAATGTTCATCATCTAAATTTTGGGGAAGAGGGTAAATGATCTATGAAATAAATACAAATTATTGATTTAGTTTTTTAGTACTTTATTATACAGCTGATGTGCTTTTTTTGAACTGTGTGAATTTCCTTTTTTTACACAAATTTATCGCTTGGGGAAAAAGTGATAAAATGTATTTACGTAAAGGTTCATTATTTTTTTCTCAAAGCTGTAGAACTGTTCTAACGTACAGTATGTGCTGTTTTGCAGAGGGTCTCTTTGCTTTTTCTTTTTACCCCCGCGCATTTTGTTGCACTTAGTGCACAGAACAGAATTCACACAACCAAAATGTAACTTTGTTAAAGAGTTATTTTTTGGTCTTGATTTTTCTGTTGTTTTTTTTTCCTAAAACAATTGATTATTTTCCTCTGTTGGTTTTGTTTTTTCTGTCCATGATCACCTACATGGTAACTTAATTACTCCATGAGATAAACTGGGGCTTTGTGGAATCAACAGGGATGAGCAAAGTATGAAGTTGCTGCTACCGATTATCTTAGTTCTTCCATGTTCCAATGATAAGAGAGAACCTGATGAATTCGATGACATACACGACTATATAAATATATGGTATAGATTGTCAAATATGTGAGATATATAAATATATATACATAGATATATATATATTAAAGTAAATAACATTCTAAATATATTGATAAAGTACATAATTTATGAGTGAAAATGTAAATGAAATATGGATCATCTATGAAATCTTTTAAATTGAGAGTTTGTGTGCTGTGGGGGAAATGAAGAGATTTTTCACTGGAATGCACATCAGTAGGACAAAACTGTATTCTGATTCAGTGCATCTTTTCTTGTGCAATAAATATGTGTGTGTTTAGATAGGGGTTTTACGTGGATATGTTGTTCACTCATTGACATTGTCGTTTCCCCCCGCGAGCGAGGCGTGGGAGTGGCAACGCCCCGGTGCCGGTCAGGGCGTTTTTTTCCGAGCTCTTGTACACTTTGTATTCAGAGACAGAGGGGTCGCGCAGCCGCACTCACGTTCCACGCAATAGGGCAAGGTACAAAGACGTCACTTTGTTGTGGTTCTTCGAAGCGATCGGTGGTAAGGACATTTCTTTCATTTTGCATTTAGAGTGCCTTATATTTATGCCTGTTTTTATAATGTTTCATTTAACATGTCAATGTATCCTTTGAGTAATCGAGGCATTTAGTGTAAATGTACAGTTTATTTACCTTTAGTATTCATTTGTCACATGATGAGATTATATATATGCAAATAAGAACGTTTCAAAGGTCATACGTGTCATTTTCAGTGGCCTTATTGTGGCTGTGAAGCGAATTAGAGAATTAGAGGAAAACAGTATATATCTATATATACTACATGTATACTGGCCTACTGGCCTTTATAGAAAACGGGCAACATTGCGAACAATTACCAGACAGGTTTTAAACAGGGAAGAGACTGGCGTCAGAACTAAACAGGATAATATCCATCATGTCTTAAGGCCCAACCTAAGGTTAACCGATTCTTTACCATTTACAGTCACATTTCCCAACATTGTTTAGATTTTAAATAAAAAACGATCAAAAAAAAAGCCCAGTGCACAGGTCGTCACTGAAGGGTTTCTTCTTCATGCCTTAGGTTTTTACTTTATATGTAGAGAAATACAAACTGCAAACAAAACATCATTTATGTTATCCTGACAATCCTAAACGGTGTTTCAAGCCCCCTTTTTCTTTTTTCTGGCACAGCAGTTGGAGACAGGGGGTTTAGCTGGGTTATGTTTCAGTCTTCATGTGGAGCAGCATCTATAACTTCTCAGTACCCTCTCTGATGGCTTTGTGGATGTGCATTCCAGGTGCTTTCTTTCCCTTGTTAACTGAAGCAGCTATGTGTTATATTTGTGTCTGCTTAACTGATTACTTTTGTCATAGTTTTGAGATATAAAAGTGCTATTATTTAACCTCATGGTGGCTAATGTTACATTATGTTAATCTCAGAACACGTTGTGTTTTTTTCCCCTTTTTTTTATCGATTTGTTTTCTTTTGTTTTTCATATGCATGGTTAAACGTTGCAGAACGGCCAAAGCTGGCCTGGTAGGAAGACTTGCACTTTCTCTATCTTTGTACTATGCACTGCCCTATTGATTCTAAACCCAATAATATATTACTTGAACCCATCTATAAAAAGAAAAAAAAATCTCCTTAAACGTTCACTTTGTGTGTATGTAAATAACACAAAATGGTATCAACTCTTGAAAAAGACAAAAAAAAAAGTTTGTGGCAAAAAGAGCATCCATTCTGATGCCATGGTTACTCCAGCAGATGACTTCAGAACAATCTGTCCCCCCCAACCATCTGTTCTCGTGGCTTTGCCATTCAAGCTTGGAGTGTCATTAACAGAAATAAACGTTGTGTTCTCTGCTCTCTCTATCTATCTCTCGTCTGGATGCATAGACTGAAAATTAAATAATGAAATTGTAAAAAAAAAAAGAAGAAAAAAATGGCTTGTTAAAAAGATCATACAATTACCTCTGATTAGTTGTTAGCGTAAAATGTTTCTTTCTCTGAATGAAAGGAGTGCTTTTTATTTTCTTACTTAGGTTACATTGGTGGCGGAAGAAGTCTGTACGAAAACCAGTTCTTTGCTGACACGAGTTCCATTTGTTATAAATGAATTCTATTAAAAAATGTCAGTGTTATGCATCGGCGTTTCACTTGTTTCCCTCCACCTCACTTTGACTTGAAAAGACTGATGAAGCTATTTTACCCCCTACTGGTCTGGGTCCAACATATTATCCACAGTTCTCTCATGAAAGGGGAAATTGAGCCTCACCACATTTGAATAGATTTCCATCGCTCTGGTTTTTCTGTCACTGATGTCAGCCACAATGAATCATCGGGGGAACCTTTGACGAATGAAGTGCGATGTTTTCGAAGCTGCTTTGTTTTTTAACGCAGACTTTGTTCACCCTAGTAACATGGTGGAATGGTACTATTACTCAGAATTAAAACCTCAATTCGGTCATTAAAAGAAATTGCAGCTTCCTGTTGCTACGTTGAGGTTTTTGCTCCAAGTTTATGCATTTAATCTATTGTTTAAGTGTCTGTGAACTTAAAGTCTATTATGGCATTGATTAAATGTCTAAAAAACACTTTCCTCTTCATCAAATTTACATATTTACTAGGGTTTTTTCTTATTAGGTTATAATCCCTTTAAATGTTTAAATGGTTTTTACCTTTGGCTCATTTAGCGTCCATATATCCATGAAAATACAAATTAATCCTTGCTTCATCCTTCTGCTCCTTGCTTGCATAGAGGGAGATCCACACTGGTCCACACTATCCAGGTGTATGTTTCGCTATTCTGAAAATTTGCAAGTCCCATAGTACATACAGAGTGCTGTTCTGATAGATCAAGCAAGTCATGGGATACATCAAAAGCTCCACAGTGGCTTGTGTACAAAAGCTAAACAAAGCATCTCTGCTCTGTGTGCGTTTGTTTCACTGTGACACACGGAGAGGAGTGGGAGCAAAGGTGGCACACGTGGTGAAACGGTGAGCAGAGGAGAGACAAGATTGCTATTTTAGATTTGTGATGTATGAGACCCTGGCTACCTAATGCTGCAGTCACACTGGGGAAAACAAGGTACAATCAAAATTACTGTGACTGTGTGCAATAAGCTTGCGATCTCGTTGCCTTAAAAAAGGTTGCTTTTAAGGCAGGAAACAGGTCTGGAACCACATGCATTAAATGGCAATGGTGAATATAATATTTGTCACCATGTCCATGCAGAGAAATGAACTGCTTACATTCGCATTCATTACTTACATTCAGAGTCCAGCCAGAACTTCATAGATTTGAAGCAGAAATTCTTCCAGTAATAGTGATGCAGTTGCTGCAGAACAGCAACTGCATCAGCAACCTCACCTTTACATAAGAATATAATCAAAATACTTCCTGTTGGCAACAAGTTGAGTTGGGTCCCCTATTTCAAAGAGACACACTGAAGAAAGTTGTGCTCTTCAACACAGACCAACTGGTTGATTGCGATGTGTTGGCAATCTGTCTGAATTTATAAAGTACAGAGCAATTAGTTGCAAACCTTCACCAAACTGTTGGAGAATGAATGCAGTCGAACCAATTTAGACCTACCAGTTGTTTGGTGACATGTTTCCTCCTGTGCAACAATCTTGGTTGCTGCAAGTTTCTTCCTGTTGAAAAGGAGTTTTTCCTTCCCGCAATCGCCAAAGTGCTCGTTCATAGGGAGTTGTATGATTGTTGGGGTTTCTTTGTTGTTATGAATTGGTGCTATATAAATTTTAAATGCTGGAACTCTTTAATAACACAAGATATCCATATATCACGAATAAAATTTAAGAATCTATGTTTTTGACAGTATATTATATGACGTTAAAGTAAATATTGTATATCTGCTACTCTGCATCAAACTTAATAGGACAGTTTTAATCATCAGTCGGGTTGAACGTGCGTGCGTGCTGGACATTGTTCTATCCTGGATGACATTTCCCAACATGATAAAGCAAAGGCATGTTGAAAGTCAGTAAAATTGCAGAAATGCATTAAATCCACATAAGAGTCCCAAATATTTATTCGCTTTAGATCCGGAGGGGTCCCAAGCTTAGCATATTTCCAGGCTTAAAATGTAAATGTATGACTTTGTGGATTATGTGTGGAGCTCTAGAAAGAGCCACAATTACAGTCGACCAGCTAATGCACTGAGCCTAAACGCATCCTGTGTAGATACTAACAGAAGGCTGAAGCCTTAATGACCAAAATAAACGCAAACACATAAAAGTAGCAACCAAAAAAGTAGCTATTCATTTAAGTGCACATAATATGGTTTTACTGGTAACAATTGGACACAAATGTTCTATTACAGAAAGAATAATTACCTGCAGTAACTTCACTGAGTCACTGCGAATTAATTAAAGTCTTACTACACAAAATCTATTTATAATTAGACTACTTATTAGTCACAATAACATTAGCGGATGTTCCTCCATCAATTAGAATGTCACAAGTACAATAAAATGTCAATAACCTGAAGCAAGAGCAAGTGTGGGAACTAAAAAGAGCTTTTAAAACAGTATTAAACTACTTGACAGCTGGGGAGCACAGTCAATAACTGCTTGCTGGGAGAAGTTACTCAGGAAGCTCTCCATGCGCTCAATTAGAAAACATCATTCCACATGATAGCAAATGACAGATGCCGTCAGCTTTGGCGGTGAGCTGGAGAAACATTACTCCCGAGTTTACTACTGAACGTGTTTTCTGATAACAAGCTTAACAAAGCCTCCGTCCTCGTGTCAGATCACAGCAGAGTTGGAATGCAACAAATAACAAGCACCTGTCTTAAAGAGAAAATTGCGCCATGTATTATGTGTCAAAAACAATGATATACTACAAGAAATGCAGAGCGGATGTGCGGCAGTGATTTCCACAGGAGTGACACGTTGCCTTCCGCTCTTTGTTTTTACAAATCGCACCTGAAAACTCAACACGAATAATGTACAGGATGTTGTTTACTGCGCTCGGATGTTTTCTGCTGCGTTATGAAGCATTGGAATCGCATAAATTTACATTCATTTCAGCCTTGCTACCCCCACATATGCTTAGAACATTACTCCCTATGGAGGAAAAACACTGCCAAGACTAGAGACAACGTTATGAAAGCTTGAACAAACCGAACGCTCTGAATGCTTGAGTATTATATTACCATGCACGCAAAAGTTCACATGACATGCGGGGGAAACGATCGCGGATTACTGCACAGCGAGAGCGATTATCGCTTCACCTTGTTTCTGACAATTTCGTGGGAATTGGCTAAAACGAATCCCCAAACTTCTTGGGCAATCGTGCCAGTGCAGATGTCTGCTTCACACTAGTCAAGAGTACAACAAAATAAGGAAACTTCTACTGTCATCAGATTTTATTTTTCACCGGAGACTGCGCTTCAGATGTGTCGAGCAGATGTTCCGTCTCCGTCTCTCAGCAGTTTTTGGAGAATTATGAAACCAACCAGCCAGTCACAACACTTTGCACAAGTCATTTCTCATTTACACCCACCCACCACCCCACTCCAACACACACACACACACACACACACACACACACACACATTCAACGACGACAGCTTGCCTCAGTCCCCTGGTGCTTTATTTTCAACATCCTAAATTTGATGAAACATGTCCAAACGCTGCGTGGCTTTGTTGTCAGCAGTACTGAGTGGGATTTAAGAAAGACATTTCTTTTAATTCTCTCAATTCTGAAAGAAGAAAAGGCCGTCTGTGCCTAATTCTACTGCAGCAACACTACATAATTGAGTGTTAAAAGAATTCAATTATATTGTCACTTCAGTTCGATCAAGAACTCAGACACTGACTGTTCTGGAAGCTCCGTCCCTGTGCTGATAAACAATCACCTGTTACCACTTCATCAACTCGTGCATTTTGTGACTCATCTTCCTGTGGTTTTCAGTAATGTACACTTTGGCAGCTACGTTCTGCGTCTATTTTCATATGAACATTGCTGTGGATTGCTAAGTTCTCAAATATAAGTTCCGCAGGTGCAAACGAGGTGCAAAAAGACACTTTAGCTTCTTCAACCCTTTGCCAAAAACCACTGCCTTTTAAATCTCGGTGTTCTGGTTTGATGCAAATTTGCAACCCTCTTTACCCCGCCTCCCTGTCTGTGGCTGCAGAGTAGGGCTAATCACAAAGAGGTCTGCTAGCAGGATGTCTTACGAGCAAAATTAACTTAAAAAGATGAGTAATGAGGTAGAAATGAATAGCTGAGAAGAGCAGCTTAGGGTGAGAAGGTTGGAGAGAGCACTGGGCCAGAGGAGGGATTGAGACTATATTGGACAAAGGATGTATGTGGAAAAAGTGGAAGACCAGAGAAAAGATGGATGTGGTGAAGGAGGACATGCAGAGGGTTTGTGTGACAGAGGAGGATGCTAAGGATAGGATGAGATGGAGGCGCAAGACCCACGTGGTAACCTTTAAAGGGAGCAACTGAAAGAAGGCTTTGCAGCAGTCAGAGTAGTGCTGTGTTAGTGAGCGTGATTGAATAAAACAAAACAAGACAGTGCTTCACAGTATGCATATTAACATCGTATGAATGTGTGGGCATGTTGTGTGCAGTGGTAACTATGACTGTAAAAATGTTACATTAATAAAGTCTATTTAAAGCCAGGAGGGAAAACTTGCCAAAAATATTGGAGACTGCAAAATCTGATCATATTTACTTACTTATTTATTTAGTTCTATTAACATGGTTTTTAAATAAAAGTATTCCTGTTGAAAAGACTGCCTGATTCTTTCTGCGGCAGTCTTAAGTCGTAAGTGTTAATCAGTCTGAGAGAGCAAATATAAAAACTGACTAGGCCTACTTGCCATTGTGACACAAGGTTAACCTAACGCTACATTAAGGTGTATAGGAAAATAAAATAACTTTTAAATTTCTTGCAGTAAGCAAGTGAAACAAAAACAAGTAATATTGCTGCTCTTAAGAATCTGAATTTCTTATTGATGTTTGTAATGAAACGACAAAGACTTTAGATGAACGGTGACTATATTTTCCAGAGGATTGACTGATCAGTGGGCAGTAGTTTAGCACATGCTGTCTTTCAGCTCAAACAAAACTTACCCTGTTTGGTCTTCAGCATGAGTAACCATGGTGG